GGGAGAGATTGAATTGTGCTGCTATAAGCATGATCTTAATAATAAGAAATTTATGCAGGGGTTTCTGGAAGTCAAGACTGTGGGTCAGCAGTGAAACTCATCACTGGAAACTACCTCAACAAATGCTCTAATTTATGTAAATATTCCAAAAGACAATATTTCTCCATGTTGAATTAAAGTAATTGAAGTTATAAAGGATTTTAAACACTTTGGAATGAGGCCTACCTTTGATTAAGAATGTACCCCAAAAATGCACCTATCGGTGAAAAAGTGGCAAGAAAAGGAAAGCATCTTCAATTCAGTCAAGTACAATTAAATTTAAAAGAAATAATGGTTTTGGATAGTTTATTATTGAGTAAAAAAAATGGAGGAGGAAAGATGCTCACCTTAAATAACAAATCCTTCTCCCCATAACGAAGTTCCTTCAGGTGGGCTTGGATTTTTTTGACTGCAAAAGCAGAAACATGAATTAGTGCCTTAATTCATTCATATTTTCAACTTGAAGACTAAATTCTTCAGACTGAACAATAATAAATTTGCAGCCAAGCCAAACAGAGACCAAATACTTTGGAAGTAAAAACAGAAAAAAATTAAACTCTGCTTTGAGAGTGGAACATTCAGATATCCTAGCAGAAAGGAAAAAAAAAAGCCTTTTCAAAAACATCAATAGTTTTAAAACGTATTATTTAAAGAAATTTGCTTATTGTTCTTTTCTCACTCACCATCCAAACACACAGAGTGATTGTTACATAGACATGGACAAAACTTTAGGTTTAGATGCTAAATACACCTGCATATGAATGCCTCCTTTTCACTGTTTATTTTCAATTACTTATTTTTAAGATTACACATGGTAAATTTGGATTTGACACTATCCAAGGTGAAGGCAGCAATCAAACAGGAAAGGAGGTGAGGAAAGCCACTAGAATTGCTAAGATGCTAAAGTGAATGGCGTTTTTAAGACTGAATTTAGAATTCACTTTTTAATACTGCCATCACAAACATAAAAATGCTTAACAAAGAAATCTTTCCCAGAAGACATGTTTGGATACCACATTGGATCTTGTTCTCCTAAGACACAAATGATCATGCATTTCCACTTATCCAGATCAGTCTCAATGCCCAACATTCTATTATAAATATCTGTTAATTATATCTCTAATTATATTTCTTATGTAAAAGGTAAGATTATGGGTCATGAGTGGATTAACAAAATGTGATATACACACACACACACACACACACACACACACACACACACACACACAAACAGTTAAATTACTATGGCTACATGAAGAAAAAATAATAATTAAAAAATAGTTGAGTAGGAATATAAAATGATACAGTCACTTTGGAAAATATTCTGGCACTTTCTTATAAAGTTTAACATATGCACAGTGCATTACAGAGCAATCCTTCCTAGGTGTTTACCCAAGAGAAATTACAATGTCTACAAAAATGTTTATAATATCTGTTTTCATAATAGCCCAAATCTGGAAACAACCCACATGTCTATTAACTGGTGAATAGATGCACAAATTGTAGCATCTTCATGAAATGGAATATTAGAATACTGTTCAGAAATTAAAAAGAAAAGTAATAAAATAGTAAACCATATAACAACATGGATGGATTTCAAAGACATTTTGCTTTGTGAAAGAGTCTAGTTACTAGAAGCTATATTTTGTATAATTCCATTTGCATAATACTCTAGAGAGGTCAAATGGATAGGGATAGAAATCAGGTTAGTAGTTGAGATGGGCTGAGGGTTGGGAGTGGAGATTGAGTCGGGGGGTGATGGAAATGTTCTGTATCTTGAAACATACATTGGTCAAAGCCATTAAACTGTACACTTAAAGAAGATGCACTGTATGTAAATTATATCTCACTAAAATTTCTTTTTAAAAGTAGTTGGTCAAAGTAGGTAATAACTACAAGATCCTTATGTGACTATTATATCTTAGTAAACTGTGTTGATATGAAAGGCTTCTTTAATGAAAAAAAGTCCACCAAGATACTTGAAATATAATTTTCCAAGCACACATGGCATATATATGAGTCTTCCACTGAACCATCTACAAGTGTACTGTGATTCAGTTTCCTATTATATTCAGAACATTTCTAACCATGCCATATACAAGAGTTTGCTAAGTGGGAGGCTGTGTTATAATGTTGCCATAATTTTTAAATCATCATCCAATGCTGTAAACACCACTGATTGAAGTGGAAACTTGAAAGTGTTATAAATAAACATGCTACTGCAAAGTTCTACTATTGGAAACAGTTTTTCATAGAATCTCTATTGTGACTCAAGTGCATTTAAGGATCTATTGAATCAGGAAGTTAATAAGAAAGAACAAAAAATGAAATGAAATGAGAAACAAATATGGGAAGGAGACAGAAAGAAAAGAGATGGAGAGAGGGAGGTAGAAAGGAAGTGGCAAAGGAGAGAAGGAAGAAAGGGAGAAAGGAAGGCAGGAAGAATTTGAGAGTTTGACATATTAATAATTCTGTATTATGAAATTGAACTCTACACACAGGAGCAGCAAGGATTTATGGTTTTTCACAAAGTAGTTAATGTTTTCTCATTTCCATAGAAAGTCATCCTCTTTTCCTTGATATGGATAGTGAAGGTGAAATGCATGATGCATAAGAAGACAAAAAGCAACCATTGCGTGTATATGGTTTTTAATGGCTCTTAAGAGTGAAAACTCACATTTGAACCATCAGTACCTTGAATTTATACTTGTACTTCAGAATTATGTTTACATCTCTGTCACTCCCCACACAAAGTTTCCCAAGTGACCCAAAATAATGATATTTAAGATACAGCATTTCCTTCATATTATATTCTCCCTATAAGATAATGACGGTTTACATGGCTATCATTATTTTGTGCTACAAAATAAAGGATTTCAGTAAAGGATGGTTTATGCTCCCTCTCACAATTTCAAATGTATGGTTGATTGGCATTTTCTCCCTGCTGTTCCAATCTGTGTCCAAGATTTATTTACAACCAGGATAGATAGTCTTTCAGGAAAACAGACTTTTTTTTTCTTCTTCTTCAAACTAATGTTGAGTATCAATGAGGAATAGAAGATTACTACTACATGTGGTATGCGTGATTTGCCCAACTGCTCTTCTATTCTTTCATGTAATTGATGCTCCTCCACCCATTATGATACAGCAGAGAACTCATTGAAATCATCTGGGGTATTCAGTTTTAATGCATATTTAAACTGAATGAATAGTATATAATTTAACCATTTCTTCAAAATTTGGAATTATTATTAGAACATCAATTATAGTATTATTCAGTGATTCATTAAGGAACTACAATAAAACTTAGATATCTTTCTTTTACATTTAATGAGCATGAATGGCCAGATTTCTTGAGCTTTATCATAATATAAGCATAATTTTTAGAAGTTTTTTTCACAGTCACCCATCTCTTCTCTGAATAGCATATTTCAACACTCTTCTAATTTTTAGTGAATTAAAAACCAAAATCCTAAGAATTTGATGAAAGATTATGCAAAGGATAAATAAGTTCTGAGTGAGTGCATCTCTTTTTGTAATACACATTAATTTGAAACCCAATTGATGCTTTGACTCTTTTCTTTTAGCTTTTTAGCAACATTTAAAAAAAATTAAAATTAGCAAAAGGATAACCTTCAAACAATTGAGATGTCATTATATTGGAAATTATAATAACTTTATTTTTACTGCATAGTGATTGTTGGCACCTCTGAGTCATGAAGTATTTACAAGTCCACAGCAAAATTAAAGTTAATAATAATGATGATGATGACTATAAGAAGATGAAGGTGAAAAAGATGAAGAAGAAAATATCCATGATAGAACATTTTAGCTAACCTTATTTATCCCATTTAGGAATATATATTTTAGTCAGATTTTCCTTCCTACAGTTTCGTGTTCAAAAAGCATTTCTGTGATGCTGTAATAGTGACTGTTATGGTAGAAGACATTTGTAGTAGTTTCCCTTGATAATATTCTGCTGCTGAAAATTAAAACATTAGCAATCCATTGGATGTCAATGGGATTTCAATATTTTATTCATCTATGATTGCCAAAAGTCTTGGGCCACTGGTCTAACATGCAAGGTCGTTTATAGCTTCTAAACCACAGTAGACATTATTGTTTTGTTTTTGATAATGATGAATTAAATAAACTTGCCACCATATTATTTTGAAATGTTTATTGATGTGGGAGACAAAAGTATGTCTCCCATATTACCTAGAATGTAAAGCTTTAAATTTATTTCATAAATATATAATGAGATTGGGCAAATGACTATATTGTAATGAACCTAACACAGTATATTTCAACATTGGCAATATGAATACATGAAGCATCTAGCAACATACACATAGGTATTCAGAGATAATATTTATTTTGTATTAGTATTTTATATTATAATTTAAATATTAGGTCATTAAATATGAAATGTCTGATTTTGAATTAAAGGTATAGTTTATTATATTTCAAACAAGATACAGTACAAGTAATCAAAATATACACCTAAACTATTGACACAGTTTTGCCATCTTAATGGTAGCTTATTTATGTCAGCAGAGAAGAAGCCTGGGGAGCAAGTGGCAATAAAATTGCAAAAGGTCTTTTCCACAGCTGGCTGAAGTGGTCCAAAGCCTGGAAAAAGTGGTAGTCAGTTGGTGCAAGGTCTGGTGAATGTGGGGGGTGACAGAGAGTTTCCAAGTAGAGCTTCTGTAGTTTGAGCAGTGTTGTGTGTGCAAGATGTGGATGAATGTATGTTGTCTTGCAAGAAGATTGGCTTGTCTCTATTTATCAATATTAGCTGCTTCATCACAAGCATCCTCATCATTTTGTCAAATTGGTTGCAGTAGACATCTGTTGAAATCAATTGACCAGGTTCCATTGGTGATAATACCACCAGACACCATTAGCTTTTTTTGGTAAATTTTCAGTTTTGGACTGTATTTTGGCACTTCATCTTTATCCAGCCATTGTGCCTAATGCTTGCAAATGTCAAAAAGAATCTATTTTTCATCACACATAACAATATGGTACAGAAATGGTTCATCTTTATGTCATGACAACAAAGAAAGGCAAGCTTCCAGACAATTTTGCTTCTGACACTCATTTAATTCATGGGATATCCATCTTTCCAGTTTCTTTACCCTGACAATTTGTTTCAAATGATCCAATATTATTGGAATAGTAACATCAATCCTTGTTGCTAATTCACGAATCCATAGATGGATTCGTTTCCACTACAGCTTTCAGCTCATCATTATTTTCCTTGGTCTTAGGTCACCCACATGGCTCACTTTCAAGATTAAAATCACTGAAATGAAACTTCTCAAACCACCCACATACTGTGTGTTCATTAGCCACATCCTTCCCAAACACTTTGTTGATATTTCAAACTATCTTTGCTGTATTGGTTCCATGATGGAACTCATATTCAAAAATAACATAAATTTTTGACTTAGCCATGGTTTCACAAAAATTGCTCTTAAAAAATGTGAAAGATAATCACAAGCCAAAATATGCATTTCAAAGACTAGGGATATACCTTCACAATAAAAATACATCCCAAAGAGTGTCAAAGAGAAATGTCAGAGATATTAAGAGTCAAACTCAGTATTTAAGGAAATCAGACATTTCATATTTAATAACCTAATACAATACCTAATATAATGTAATCCAAGACATTGAGATGAAGAAAACTATTAATCATTCTTGAACTAAGAGGCCAAAAAATAAAAATAGACCCTATTTTTTCCCTAAACACCACAGATACTTTCTCCCAAGAGACCTCTTTCTTTCATGAGTGTGAGTATTGTGTGGATCCTGAAAATATATTGACTATCTCAGAATATAGCTTCTATATAGATATTCCTATTCATAACATCATCCCACTTGCTTACCCTCTTGAAAATAATATTCAGAACCTGCACAAACCTCATTTGCACTATTTCTGGAAAATTAGCAAATATGAACAATGTATAAGTCTATTTCTATCTAAATAGAAAAATGCAATGTAATGAAACACTACACTGGATCAGATCTACAAACCATTTAATCTGATTTTTCACCTTATAGAGTCTCAACCTTTAGTTTATTTGTATTAAAAAGTTTTATTCATTTCACACATGATATTATTGTAAAGATATTATAAAATGAATTATTTTATTGCATGCTAGATTTGAATGCCAGTGCTTGTGATAATGACTTTTCCTTGTTTATAAAACAGTATTTTCACCTTCTTTATGAAGAGAAACCCCAAATGTGGGCTGGACACATAACCACTATTCTAAGGGCATTTTCCAGCTTTCCTTCAACTTGGCTAAGGCAAACAGCAGCTGCTCTTTGCCTTACTTCCAGACTACTATAGGTAAAGTGGTACATTTTAACTTTTTAAATCCACTGTTCTCATTGCACCTAAAGCTTTTCCTTTCCTCTTTCTGCTGAGGCATTCGATCTTCATGGTATGAAACCTTTCATGTCTGTCTGTTCCTTACCATTTATAGGCTAATCCTGGAATAAATTTTTTGCACATATAGTACATTTTTATGTGTGCTTCTTGGAGGATCCAATTTTAACAGTGACTTTTGTTTCCTCATCTTGAGGTATAAACAATCATTTGTTAATGATGTGATACTATCACTACTATTTCATTGCTATCACTGAGAATTACTTACAATGAACTGCATTTCTTCATTAAACACAGAACCATAAGAACAAATATATTTTCAAATGAGAAGTACAGGATATTGAATATTTTATTTAAACCTGTATTAACAAGAATGACTTTTTATTCCCTAAGAAATACAAAAGATAATTTTGTTGCTCAGCAAACAAATCAATGAATAATTTGTCTGTAAGTTTTATGGCCAATCTCAGAATCCTCACTCTGATAGTCAATTGTCACTATAAAACTTTGTAGACACCACACAGATGGTATACACAAAAAAGGAAAATTTCATATACTCCAGGAATTGTCTATTATAAGGAGTCCAGAAAATTATTTTATGAAAGTAACACTTAACTGTTTTTGTTATTTTGTTCTTCTAGCCATGCAATGTTAAAACACTCAAAAATATTCAAAAGTTTAAAATATATTTCATTTTGTTATTCAAAAGTTTGCATTTGTGTTAGGAAAAAAAAGTTACCAGATATCAGGGTAAAACAAACAACAACAACAAAAAATACAATTGGTGCCAATGTTGTTTTTATACAGTTGAAGTTAGAAGAAGAAAAAAAATCTACTCACCTCTTCTGCATGAATGCCACACAACTTGTTTCCTGACAAGAGTTTGTTTTTCAAGCTTTTGTTCTGAGGAAAGAAACATAGTTTTGTTATAAAGAATTAATTAAATATTAAGAATTTCCTTAGTATGTCAGCATGATTGCTCTATGTTTTGTTCACAGATTAGACTTTCATGATGTAAGGTGTAATAGATTTGTATCAATCTGTTTAAATATATAATGTAAAATAATGTTCCTTTTATTTAATTACATTTTTGATATATTAGCATTAACATATTTATTAGAAAAGATGATTTTTAATTTTATTCCATTGTGAGCAGAAATATACTTGATGTGGTTTAAATTTTTAAAACTTTGTTCAAACTTATTTTGTGACCTAACATACTATCTATCCTGGAGAATCTTCCATGTGCTGATAAGAAGAATATGTATTCGGCAGCTATTGGGTAAAATATTCTATAAATGTCTGTTACGTTCATTTGGTCTAGTGTACAGTTTACCTCCAAAGTTTCCTTGTTGATTTTCTGTCTAAATAATCTGTCCATTGCTAAAGATAGGGTGGTGAAGTTCCCTATTATCATGGCATTACAGTCAATCTCTCCTGTTGGTCTGTTAATATTTACTTTATGTACTTAGGTGTTCCAGTATTGGGTACAGGGTAGTGCGATTATTATATCCTCCTCCTGTATTGATTCCTTTGTCATTATTTAATGGTCTTCTTTGTCTTTTTTTTTAATCTTTATTGATTTAAAGTCTGTTTTTTCTGATATAAGTATAGCTACTCTTGATATATTTTGAATTCCATTTGCATGGGATATTTCTTTTCCACCCCTTCACTTTCAGTCTGTGCATGTTTTTATAGGTGAAAAGAGTTTCTTTAAGATAGCATACAGTGGGGCCTTGTTTTTTTTTAAATTTTTAATCCATTCCTCCACTTTATGTCTTTTAATTGGAGAATTTAATTCATTGACATTCAAGGTCATTATCAATAGGAAAGTACTTACTACAGTCAGTAAAATGAAGAGACAAGCTACACAATGTGAGAAAGTTTTGCAAACTACACACTAACAAAAGGTTAATATCCAGAGAATATAAAGAATTCAAACTCAATAGCAAAAGAACAAATAATATGATTTAAAAATAAGCAAAATGCCTGAATAGACATTTCTCAAAGGAAAACATATAAATGTCAACAAACATATATAAATGTTTAAAGTCACTAATCATTAGGAAAATGCTAATCAAAACCTCAATGACATATAATCTCACCCCACTCAGAATGGCTATTACTAAAAAGATGAAAATTAACAAATGCTGGTGAAGATGTGGAAAAAGGGCAACTCTCATATAGTGTTGGTGGAAATTATTACACTCATTATGGAAAACAATATGGAGGTTCCTCAAAAAATTAAAAATAAAGCTACCATATAATCCAGCAATCCCATTATTGAGTATATATCCAAAGAAAATGATATCAATATGTTGAATAGATATTTGCACACTTGTACTTATTGTAGCACTTATTCACAATAACCAAGATATAGAATCAACCTAAATGCTTATCTACAGATGAACGGATAAAGAAAATGTGGTATATACAGACAATGGAATATTATTCAGCCATAAAACAGAATGAAATTCTGTCATTTGCATCAACATGTATTAATAAACTGTATGATATTATGTTAAGTGAAATCTGCCATGCACAGAAATATAAACACTGCATGACCTATGTGGAATCTAAAAAAATTTGATGCACCAAAGTAGAGTAGAATAGCGGTTTACTAGAGTCTGTGGAGGTTAGGGAGGAGTGTGAAGATCAGGAAAGTTTGAGCAACAAGTACAAAATTATACTTAGGAAGAATTAGTTTGGTTTTCTGTTACATAGTAGGATGACTATAAATAACAATGTAGTGTATATATTAAGATACCTGGAAGAGAAGATTTTGAATGCTCTCACCATAAATGAAAATGTTTAAAATGATAGATATGGTAATTAGCTTGATTTGATCATCATACAACATATACCGGCATTGAAACATCACACTGTATCCCATAAATATGTAAATATGTAAAATTATTGTGTCAATTATAAATAAAAAATTAATTTAAAAAAGGTAAAACTTCACTTGTCCTAACATTTAACTTCTGTTATATATATATATATATATATATGTATATATATATATATATGTATATGTGTGTGTGTGTGTATGCCTGTGTTATTTTATAAAATAATTTTAGTTTCAAGTCAGCAATAGATGCAAGTGTCTCAAACCATCCCTCTGGACTATAATTATGTATTCCTACTACTATCCTGGTGCTGGTCATCTTGTACCCTATTATAATGTAGCCACAGAACAATCAGAGGATCTGTATTCCCTTTGAAGTCTATAATTTTACAATCCTCTTACATTCCTGATGGCTGCACATTGCATTCAAAGGGCTACTTGAGGCTCAGAAGCCATTTTGTCTTCCAGGCCTCAGAATTGTGTTCTTTTTTCTAGATGTGGGTAAACAAAATCCATTACCCCTTTGAATTTCTCATAATTGACCTATGTTCAAAGAAAATATGTTTGTTCCTCTGACACTTCTTAACCATTTGAGCCTAACTCCTCATAGCTGTGAACTAAAACAAAATCCTAAGACCCCTGCCTACTGAATAGATCCCACCTTGGTCAAGGGGATCCCAGAAAAAACTTAAAACTGAGTTCCTACCCATGGTGGGATGAAGGGTTAGACATACCTCATTATATCCCCTAACTTGTTAATCACTCTCAGGCTTTCTTCCTGGCTTAAACAGAACCAACCTTTTGAAAAGGCTAGCTCCACCCCTGATTTCAATCAGCCACCTAATGCTGCTCCTCCCTTTTGTGGTTACTATACAACAACTGGCTAATATTCCTTCCTGATAAGAGACCACTGACCTCAGAGTAGTTTTGGCCAGTCTATGGAGGATGTGCACAAAGGGCTTTTGTGTCCTCTTTTTGTTTTTCATGCAAATATCCAGTTACTTAAGCACCAATTATTGAAAAGTCTCTTCTGTATACATGGAAACATCTTAGAGACTTTGTTGGCTGGCATGGTGGCTCACACCTGTAATCCTAGCACTCTGGGAGGCCAAGGCAGGCAGATTGCTTGAGATCAGGAGTTCAAAATCAGCCTGAGCGAGACCCCGTCTCTACTAAAAATAAAGAAAGAAATTAATTGACCAACTAAAAATATATATACAAAAAATTAGCCGGGCATGGTGGCGCATGCCTGTAGTCCCAGTTACTCAGGAGACTGAGGCAGCAGGATTGCTTGAGCCCAGGAGATTGAGGTTGCTGTGAGCTAGACTGATGCCACAGCACTCATTCTAGCCTGGCCAACAAAGTGAGACTCTGTCTCAAATAAATAAATAAATAAGAAACTTTGTAAACAATCAATTGAGAAAATAACTCCTTTGGCCTTTATGAAGCAAATGAAACTAGACAAGCCCTCTTGCCAAAAACAAATAGACAAAACAACTGGACAGAATATAACCAAACAAATGTTTCAGACACTATCACTATACAACAACCCCTGCCAAACCATGCAGATGATGCAAACCAATGGAAGAGTATATCAGTATATCATGCTTATGGATCAGTACAATCAACATTGTTAAAATGTCCATATTACCCAAAGTGATTTGCAGATTCACAGTAATCCTCATCAAAATACCAATGTCATATAGCACAGATCTAGAAAAAAAAAATCTATGCTTTGTTTGGAACCAGAAAAGAGTCCAAATAGCCAAAGAAATCTTAAGCAAAAGGAACAAATGTGGAGGAATCACATTACCAACATTATACTATAAGGCTATAGTAACCAAAACAGTATGTCACTAGCACAAAAATAGAGGCGTAGACCAATGGGACAGAATAGAGAACCCAGATATAAAAGCTTCCACATACAGCCAACTAATCTTTTACAAAGCAGACAACAATATATACTGGGGGAAAAGCCCTATTCAATAAATGGTGCTAGGAAAATTGGATAGCCACATGCAGAAGGATGAAACAAGACCCCTACCTCTCAACACTCACAAAAATTAATTTAAGAATGATAAAACACTTACATCTAAAGCATGAAACCTAAGAATTTTACAGAAAAATGTAGGAAAAACACTTTCCGATAGTGGCATAGGCAAAAAAAATTATGACTAAGACCCCAATGGCAATTGCAACAACAAAAATAAACAAGTGAGACTGGATTAAATTAAAATTTTCTGTCACAGCTAATGAAATAATCAACAGAGCAAATAGACAACCTACAGAATGGGAGAAAATATTTGCAAACTATACATCCAATAAAGGGTAATATCCAGAATCTACGAAGAACTCAAACAAATCACCAAGAAAAAAACAACCACATTAAAAAGTAGATGAAAGACATGAGCAGAAGCTTTTCAAAAGAAGATAGACAAGTGCCCAATAAATATATGAAAAATGCTCAACATCACTAATCATCAGGGAAATATAAATTTAAACCACAATGAAATCTCTATCACTTTACCCCTGTTCTCTTATATGAGAATCTGCTCAGCTAGAAAAGCTTTCGTAGAAAGACTTTTCCCAAAAAATAAATTGGAATTTTACGGTATGTCATAATGTATAAGAAACATGATGCTCACATGATGTCCAGTATGCTATGAATTAAGAACTATAGTAATTTTTTTCCAAATAATAGAAAAGTTATTACAGAGAAAGCACAAGTGCTTTAATATAGGTCCATCAGAGGAAATAACAAAGATGGGAAATTTTGCATTACTTTAAAACATTAGGTAGATATGCCTATTTCCCAGGTATATACAAAATAAAAATAGAATTTTCACTCTGCGCATCTATAGCTATGGTCAAGCCAAGTCTGCATTGATTCAAATAGTTCAGCATGAGTAATATCATTCAGTTCACTAGAATGTTGCACTTGTTTTTATTACAGAATAATCTGGATTCTACCTGACTTAATGGATAATACAAATTCAGCTATGTTAAATTCTTAGCACTGATTAGAGTGTGTCTTCTGAATTTTGGCTAAAACAAT